GTGCACATTTTAGATGTTAGGCAGTAGAAATTGTCAGCCATATCATCACAGTTATGACTTGCTTCCCACCCTGGCTGATTCTTTACATAGAGGTCACAGAAGACGGAGCTGCAGCTTTCCGGCTGCGAGATGACTGGCAAGAGAAAGTGCTGAACCTCTTGCAGCTCAAGTGAGAAATTGAGTTTCAGTTAAGCTCTTAGGAGCATATTCTAGTGCTGAAGACAAAGGGTCTAGGGTAAAATTGCAAGAAATCCCAGCATACTTAAACTGATCCTGCCAGCAACTAAGTGCTAGGAGAGGCATTCCATTCTTGTAAAATGGGGGAAATGCACACAAGTCAACAATAAGACGATGATTGGTAGCTGGGAAGGAGCAGGAATAACATGCTCAGTGTCGCCATCTGGTAAACCCCCAAAAGCCAGACTGAAAGCACAGCAGGCCAGATTGGGCCCGGTCCTGAGGTTCAACTCCTCTGCCTCATACTGTTATGATGGCATGTCTCTGGACTATGATGGCATGTCCCTGCTGTTTCTTCCCTGAGATGGTCCTCTTTCCTGTGATGAAAATTTACTCTTATGATCACAGAGATTTGCAGGGGAAGGTTGGGGGAACAGGAGGTTGTCGTTTTGTTTTGTTTTGTTTTGTCTGCAATTCACCCTGCAAGCTTAGAAATATATGGATTTTGAGTACAGATTGTATCTGAATCCATGTTCAATCCAGAAGATAAATCCTGATCAAAACCAAACTGAGATATATACATATATATACATGTGTGTGTGTGTACGTGTGCGTGTTTCATATACATGCCTGCCCATGTGTACCTTGAACACGTGGAAGAAGCTCATCTGAAGGTGGAGGTTGTGCAGAGGCGGCCCCACCAGGAACAACGTCATTTTGCAGGGGGTTTGTCCCCTTGCCCTCATCAGGCATTCACCAGAGAACAGAAAAAAATTCTTCCTGTGCATCAAACTGGCTGCACAGAGTGTCAGCCTAGATGTTTTGGAAATGGTTTATTTTTTACTTCTTATTGCCTTTTCAATAACAACTTTTGGTGCCTCTTTGGGGACCTTTTGGGTTGTCCTGTGCTTTATGCTGCCCTTTGTTCTTTATGCTGCCCTTCGTTGTTTATGCTGCAGCTGCCAATTAATATTTAGAAAGTGTGTAGTGTTTAAACAACATTTCATATAGTGGATGGTTTTGTATAGTTCTTAGTATGCCTTGTTAGAGACCTTTGAGGCTTTTAATCAAAGTTGAGTTGGAATTTTTCAACAAACAAGATGTCTGGCAACTGTAGAGCTAATGCATCACTAAGCTCTGAATTTGTCTGTTTATTGCCTAAATTAACCTTCAGACATGCCTACCAAACATTTTCATGGATACATTTGTAGTTGTTATGATTGTCCTCCTCCTCCCTCCTTTTCCTTGTCACCATCATCTCCATGCTGGCAACAAGGATTATTTTAATTCACAAATTAATTGCCTCATATACAATTAAAACAGTGTTGCAAATTCAGAAATACATAATTTGGAGTACAAAACAGTGTAATATAACGGATCCCCATTGTTTATAAACAAATCTAAGTTTTGGCATGTAATGCTCACATATTTTGCTAATATGTGCCATACTTGTGGAGCCCACATCTTAATAATCCATTCATTGAACTGGAATATTTCTGGTTGTGTCTCACATTTGGCATAGAGCATCTGAGCAGCTGTTACCCTGTAGCTTGCCAATACTGCAGTCTGCTTTTTATTGCTATATTAGCATAATACCCATAAAAGTGGGCCTACATTTGTAGCATATTCTGGGATTCTTTTCATGTGTATCCTTCTTTTGCTGAATCTTTTAATATATTTATTTATTTATTAAAACATTTCTATGCCACCCCATTCGCCAAAGCCTCGGGGCGGCTCACAACATAAAGTTAAAATACAAAAAATAACAATATAAAAATAACAATATAAAATAAGTAACAATATAAAATAAGTTGCCCTGGCCAGATAAAATAAGCAAATACTATTAACAATTAAAATGACGCTTAAATAAAAAGGTCTTTGCCTGGCACCGAAAAACAAATAACAATAGTTTTTGCAGGAGGGACATTCCACACATGGTAAAAGTCAGACTTCTGGCATTGCCATTAATCAGACTATATTGCTGCTTAATTCTGTGTAGCAAACCAGAGCAACATGCTACCATCATTAATGTTAAACATTTCTCCCCTCATGTTCATACTGAAGGAAAAATGGTTCCTATCCTCCTAAATGTATTCCCCACTTTGCATTTGTATTTTATTCCCTTTACCTTAAACTCCTCTACTTGTTCCATTCTGCATTAATATTTTAATAATAAATCAAATATGCTTGAAACAATATATGTATTATTTTTCATAATAAATTCCTCCAATTCTGTTGCTGTCATGCGCTGTCTCTTTGGCTGACCCTATGAATGAAGGACCTCCAAAATAGCCTGCCCTTGACAGCCCTGTTCAGCTCCTGTAAACAATTTGAGGCAGTTACTTAATTGCACTGCATGAATCTGTAGAGATAATATCTCTGATCTGAAAATACTGAGAACCAGAAAGGATTATCTCCTGTTCAGGTTACTTAAATACCATCATCACTGTCATCACCTTAAAAGTAGTAGTGTTGCTAGTAGAAATAATAATCCAGGATCTGCCTTCTGCAGGAGTAAAGGCTCAACTTGTAAGCTCACCCATTGGCCTGATCTGGGGAATCTCCCCCCCCCCCCCGGCTTCTGATTCTATAGAGCATCTTCAGGAAGTTGGAGAGGCTGCCATGAGAATATTGAGCAGGGAAGTCAACTTCCACTAGCACAGTTGAACCAGCTTAAATAAGGATCCAACCCATTTCTGTACATGGCCTTTTAGTTTCAGTAACTTAATGTTATAACAAATCTGGAGTATGCAGTTCTATCAAAGCTTGCATATTTACTTATTCCACAAACATCTCTGTATTAATGTGTAAATCTTACTTCAAATGGCAGCACAAACTTGTATGCATCTATTCAAAAGTAAGTTTAATGTCATCCCAGGTAAGCTGGCATAGTTCCCCTCTGCAAATGTGGATTACTGCAAAATGCATGTTAAAGGTAAAGAGAGAGGTGAATATTTCTACAGGAGCCCATGCTGGGAAAGTGTGGGAATTCTGTTTCAGTTCATTTTTATAATGACTATTAAAAATTACAATTTTTTCATATTCAGAATGGAAAAAGCTCAAGATTTAAATATGTGAGAAAGCAAAATGGACAGAAGTATCCACTTCTAGCCCATGTTGAGTTGGTATGGCCACTCACCCACTGACACACACACATACAGAGGGAGAGAGGGAGAGAGAGAGAGAGAGAGAGATTTTCATCTTCTGTTGTTAGTAAGCTAGGCAGATTTGAAATGAAAATTTGCAAATGATAGAAATGGAATACTCTAGTAAATTTGGAGGCAGGTATTTGTTTTTAATTACTATAGATACACAAAACAGACTCTTGGTAAGATGGGCTCTTGATGAGTCTATTAATAATGCATACCTTTCATATTAATAGACAAATATTCCCTGATCATAAACCTCCAGGCTCCGAGGTACTTCAACTTGTATCCAGTGACAGCTGAGCCCTGGGTCAACTTAGGAAGTGACCCCTCCCAAATACCGAGATAGGCGAGGATGGGGCAGACCGGAGCAAGAACATGTCACTAGAACATTGGGCAGAGCAGAAGGAAGCAGAAGAGAAGGTTTAGTCAGAAGTAGAAAAGTTAGGAACCTGTGTTGTTAGGGTGGGTGCTGCTAGTAACCTTGCTTTGCTCATGCTTGTGTGGTCCCTTCTATTCCAGAATAAAGCTGCTCCTTCTGAAGAGCTGTCTTGACCAATCTATTATCAATCAGGCACACCAGGCAAGTTTACCGGTTACTAGGCTTCCCAGATTCGGGTAACAACATTGGGTGGTTTTTTGTAATCAGCCACATTTATAATTTTATTTTAAAGTTAGTTGCTATTCAGTCCAAGAAAAAAAAAGGAAGAATTGCTAACATCATTTGGTGGTTGCTGAACCTTTAAATCACCCCAGTGTGCATAAAGTGGCAATGGCTCTAGCACTGTTGGAATTTATTGTTTTGTCTTGAATACAAAATGACCATTACTCTATTTTTCTAGATGGTTGACAAAAATAAATTGTCCATTAGCCTACTGCTAGTTACAGTTAGACAGTTTGGAGGATGATTATTATGCACTCAGTCCTCAGGGGGCAAAGTAAATTATTTGTGTTTTTGAGTTCAGCTCAATGTAATATTCACCCTGTAGGCTGGGTAGTCCAATTGGCCTGGATATTACAATGTAATCCACATACAAGTTTGTACTGTAAAACTTCAATTATTCAGGTGTGGGGGCATTCGATTTATTTTTGTGGCTTGAAGCCTGGATTACTGACAGTCCACAAGGTTACATTGACTGGAGCCCATAAATCCTCTAAGCATCCATCCAGCAAAGAGTTGAATATTCACAGAAGGGGGTAGTCCTGAATATATAGAAATCCACTCTCCTTGTGGCTAAGACAGTATTAGAGATAGTGTTTGGGAATTCTGGCAGACTGTGAGAAACCATTGCAGCATTAGTATCACAGGAGGAGCTGGGCCTTTCACAAAATGGCTGCCATCGTTGGCATGGCAAAATACTCATTTTCCAGAAGGCAAAAGGGTGGGGCTGAAGGAATGAACACAAGGCAAAAATGGGGCCTGCACTCCAAAACAGAAAACCCCTCTTTGGAACTCACAGTTCTGTGCACAAACTGATGAAGCCTGAAGAAAAATGACTTGACCATGAAGGCTGCACAGAGCCCAGGAGCATTCTTGGAAATACAGAACTGGAATCACACTTTAAATTAGCACTTTGGTTCCCTGCAAAAACCTCCCCCTCCCTCAGGAAGCTGGATGGGATTGACATTTCAAAATAAAAATGAATTTTAAAAGAACTTCTCGAGATGGCCGCAGCAAATTTTTTATAGCCACAGGGCTGATTTTTATTTTAACATTTTCCTGAGGAAAACAAATTGGACTTTTTTTGATCTAACTGCAAATTAGTCATATAAAATGGACAATTATCTATCAAAATTTTAAAACATCAACTAAGTGCCAGATTTCCTATATCGTATTTGCATCAGTGAAGCCCTTGCTGCACAGAAGCTGAATAATGCTCATACACCATGGAAGAGAAAGTTTAAATAAATCTAGTTCAGTTTCCATGAACAGTTTTCAATCCTGAGAAAATCTTTGATAAGTGAGAGCCAGAGTTCTGGAAACATACTGCTGCATGCCAGCTTTATAGGCAAACCATCAGCGATACCTTCTCTGCCAGACTGAAACACATCATAGGAAACCATGCAAAGCTACCACCAGGACAGGCAATATAGCTGTCTTGCTCAGGATTGTCTGCTCTGACTGGCAGAAGCTTTCCAGCTTGTCAAGCAGAAGTCTTTGCCTGAAAGCACCTGCTATCTGACTCTTTTCACCACATCAGGGACTGAACCTGAGACCTTCTGCATATAAACTAAGCATGTGTTCTACCACTGAACTACTGTCCTTCCTGATAAATTTGAAGAGTGGGAGGTGAAGGATAATAAAGATGAAGTGTCCTGGTCCCAGGGAAGGGATGCATGTGCTGCTATGTGTGTTGAACCCACTATTGTAGATCAAGATTTCTTAATGACAACGAGAAGCACTGGTGCAGGTTATGGACAGCAGAGATTGGTGGCTCTAATGTCAGTGAGGCAGTGCATATGACCTGGGGTGTAGACTGAACTTCAACAGAGCTATCCATATTGCTGAACCCTACGACCACAAACAGGTTCAGCTCTATGGATAGCTCCTTTGAGTTTCAGGTCACACTTTGGAGTGGATATTGGAACCACCTTCAGCTTCCATTGCTGATGGGCTTATCATTCACAGCACAGCACCCTAGTATGCACATGGGACCTGATCCAGAAGGCTGAGCTACATCTTGATAGATCATAGTCACTGGCTTGTCACATTTCAAACAAGCATATAGTAAAATAAATTCATAAATAAATTCATACAGTGAAATAAATGTAATAATATATAACAATTCAATTGTAGCTACATATAACAAGAAAACAACAAATTATGAATGTAATTATGGCTGGTAAATGCTGGGAATGGTAGGACTTTCTTCTGAGTAAGCATGCATGGGTTGCACCTAAAAGCTTCCAGTTACTTAAAACTGTGCATCTTCTTTACAATCCTCTTCTTATTGGAGAGGTGATGTCCTGGCTTCATTGAATTTTTTTTAAAAACAAAACTCCATGTCTTTGCTAAAAAAAAAAAGGAACAGAAACTGGATTACAACCAGGAGGATTTCATGCAGTTATGGTTGCAGGTGGAGTGGCTGCCAATGTCATGCCAGCCCCACCTCTGAAATCCCACTCACCAGATACCTTTGCTCACAAACACACATTCATCATTTCATAACTGGAGCACCAAGTAGTAAATGGTATATGTGGCTGAACAATCATAAATCAAGTACTATAGACTGAACTATTCATGGTGCCTCCATATGCAGAGAGGGCTGAAGTGCTCTCCATTTTGTGTATGGATGGAAGATTTTGTATTCAAGGACATGTCACCACAGATAATCTAGATCAATGTGTCATTTGAGTAATTAAAATATTTGCATCCAAAAGATCTTAAAGTGACACTTGGATGCCTAAACCTTCCTCATAAGGTTTGAGCTCGAGAGCGGCCTTTCCCTCTGCAAGGGTGTGGACCCGATTGTATTGGTCTGCCCCTGGAGCTGGATGGATTCCTGGAAGCTCTAGGGGATTTTCCGGTTGACAAGGCTGGTGATCCTGTTGATGCCCTGGTTGAATTGTGGAATGAGGAGATGACCAGGGCTATAGACACGATCCTCTCCCACCTGGCAGAGCCCGTTCATCTCCTTGGTATACGCCTGAATTACGGGCGATGAAGCAGGTTGGGAGATGTCTAGAGTGTAGGTGGAGGAGATCACGGGGTGATTCTGATCGAACACACTTGAGAGCCTGTTATTGGGCCTATGCTGTGGCGGTGAGGATGGTGAAGAAGAAATTCTTCTCCGTTTCCATTGCCTCCTCACAATGCTGTCCGGCGGAGCTCTTTCGGGTGGTGCAGGGGCTGTTACATCCGGGCCCGAAGAGCGATCTGGTGCCACCCTCGAAAGCCTGCTGTGATGACTTTGCCAAGCATTTTAGGGAGAAAATCACTCAGATTCGCCACGAGCTTGACTCTGCTATTGAATCAGATTTCACTGGGGAGTTGCCATCGACGCTGTCGAGTCCACAATTAATGGATGAATTTCAGTTGTTGCGGCCTGATGATGTGGACAAGGTGCTTGGACAAGTACATCCTACCACTTGCTTACTAGACCCATGCTCATCTTGGCTACTTAAGAAAGCCAAGGATGGGATTGGGGCCTAGATCCTGGAGGTGGTCAATGCCTCTTTAAGAGATGGCCGGGTACCTGCCCCTTTAAAGGAGGTAGTAGTCTGGCCAGTCCTAAAGAAGGCATCCCTGGATCCAGAGGTGGCCGCCAGTTATAGACCGGTGGCCAACATCCCGTTCCTGGGCAAGGTACTAGAGCGGGTGGTGGCGGGACAACTCCAAGCACTCTTGGATGAAACTGATTATCTGGACCCATTTCAGTCCGGCTTCAGACATGGGTATGGCACTGAATCTGCCTTGGTCGCCCTGTATGATGACCTGTGCAGGGAGAGAGACAGGGGGAGTGCGTCCCTGTTAGTTCTCCTGGACCTTTCAGCGGCTTTTGATACCATTGACCATGGTATCCTTCTGAATAGGCTAGCGGGATTGGGAGTTGGAGGCACCGCGTGGCGGTGGTTCCGCTCCTATCTCAATGGCCGATTTCAGAAGGTGGTGCTGGGGGACTATGGCTCTGCGCCATGGCAGTTATGCCATGGAGTTCCGCAGGGGTCCATTTTGTCCCCTTTGCTTTTTAACATCTACATGAAACTGCTGGGGAGGTCATCAGGAGGTGTGGGCTGAGGAATCATCAGTATGCTGATGATACCCAGCTCTACCTCTCGTTTTCTACCAATCCAGGTGAGGCAGTGGCTGTGCTGATCCGGTGCCTGGTCGAGGTAATGGGCTGGATGAAGGCCAATAAACTGAAGCTCAATCCAGATAAGACAGAGGTCCTGTTGGTGGGCAACTCGGACCTTGGGATGGGGGACTTGGGCCTTGTCCTAAATGGGCTTGCACTCCCTCTGAGGGACAGGGTTCGCAGCTTAGGAGTGCTCCTCGACCCTGAGCTGTCTCTGGAAGACCAGGTGATGGCGGTGGTGAGGAGCGCCTTCCTTCAGCTTTGGCTGATCCATCAGCTGCGTCCCTTCCTAGAGAATGACTGCCTGGAGACAGTGACACACGCGCTGGTAACTTCCCTATTAGATTTCTGTAATGCGCTCTACGTGGGGCTACCCTTGAAGACGGTCCGGATACTTCAATTGGTGCAGAATAGAGCTGCCAGGTTGCTGATGGGGACTGGGTGTTGTTCTCATATAACCCCAGTTCTCTTTCAGCTCCACTGGCTCCCGATTGAAGTCCAAGCCTGATTCAAGGTGTTGGTTATGACCTATAAAGCCCTAAACGGCTTGGGACCTGGATACCTAAAGGAACGCTTGCGCCCATATATGCCCTCCCACCCCTTGAGAACAGCAGCAGATGCCCTTCTCGGGGAACCCTCTGTGAATGACATCAGGAGGGTGAGTACCCGGAGGAGGGCTTTCTCTGCGGTGGCGCCCCATTTATGGAATGCGCTCCCCAGAGAGGTCCGCCTGGCGCCGTCGTTATTTGTTTTTCGGCGCCAGGCTAAGACCTTTTTATTTAAAACTTATTTTAATTGTTAATTTATTTATTTAACTAGGGTTTTTTTTTTTTAAAATTTTTTAGCCGAGAATGCACTGAGGTTTTATTGCACTGGGGTTTTATTGTATTGTTATTTATTGATGTTTTGTGAGCCGCCCCGAGGCTTTATTGCAATGGGGCGGCATAGAAATGTTTTAAATAAATAAATAAATAATCTTGTAGGGTTGGCTAGGCTGAGCTAGAATGTAAACTAGGTACCTCACGTTAACAACAGGCTCGAGACCAATGTTTTTCTGGAATATCTGGCTTTAACACTCTCCTAGAATCTTCCTGCTTTTCAAAAAACAAACAAACAAACAAAAACCCATCACAAATGTTTCTTTCCAGTTGCCCCACTATATTTCATGATCTATTTCATAAATTGCTGTCCCCACAACAAATGGCATGCGCCAAGATTTTCATAGCAAAAGCATGTTGCAACAAAATCAGATCTATTATGTACAGATGTGTGTAGTATTGATTAGGCCAGTACAGAAATCAGCTGAAAGCCTAGTCCAGTGATGATGAACCTTTTAGAGACCGAGTGCCCAAACTGCAACTCAACGCCCACACTGCAAAGTGCCAACACTGCAATAAAACCTGAATACTGAGGTTTTAGTTTAGAAAAAACAACTCACAGCCAGTCCAAGCAAATATAAGTTGGCTTGAAACTCAACATTAAGAAAACTAAGATCATGTCATCCGGTCCTCTCACTTCCTGGCAAATAGATGGGGAAGAAATGGAGGTAGTGACAGATTTTATCTTCCTGGGCTCCAAGATCACAGCAGACAGGGACTGCAGCCAAGAAATTAAAAGACGCTTGCTCCTGCGGAGGAAAGCTATGGCAAATCTAGGCAGCACACTAAAAAGCAGAGACATCACCCTGACAACAAAAGTGCATATAGTCAAGGCTATGGTTTTCCCAGTTGCAATGTATGGCTGTGAAAGCTGGACCGTAAGGAAGGCTGAGTGCCGAAGGATTGAGGCTCTTGAATTGTGGTGCTGGAGGAGACTCCTGCGAGTCACTTGGACCGCAAGGCGATCAAATTGGTCAGTCCTAGAGGAGATCAACCCTGACTGCTCTTTAGAAGGCCAGATACTGAAGATGAAACTCAAATACTTTGGCCACCTAATGAGAAGGAAAGACTCCCTGGAGAAGAGCCTAATGCTAGGAACAATAGATGGCAAAAGAAGAAGGGGACGGCAGAGGATGAGGTGGCTAGATGGAGTCACTGAGGCAGTTGGTGCGAGCTTAAGTGGACTCCGGGGGATGGTGAAGGACAGGAAGGCCTGGAGGAGTGTTGTCCATGGGATCGCGATGGGTTGGACATGACTTTGCAACTAACAACAACATATATATATATATATATATATATATATATATATGACCTTGACAGTGCACTGACTGGCCATGCGAAAGCTGGGATGAGTAACGTCTAATGAGACGCGGCTCGTGATGTCATTGGGTGGCATCGCTACTCCTTTCCGAACATGCGCATGGCCCCTATGTGTGCTGCCCTTGGCCGGTGGGGCAATGCTGGGGTGACGTAGGTCACATGCTGACAGAGAGGGCTCTGCATGCCCACTGTGGCATGCATGCCATACGTTCACCACCACTGGCCCAACCCTACCTTAGTGCACACCCTAACCCTAATATACAGGTAAAATACCACTGAAAGGGGCGATTTTGAAAAAGTCTTCCTTGAGTAGCTTTTTCTGCACAGCCCATCATTTCTGCCCATTCTAAGCACATTCAACCATCAAAATCATGCCAGGACACCTCATTTTTCTAACCCTAACCCTGCCCTGGTGCATACCCCTAACCCTAATATAGGGCTAGCGTTCCACTGAAAATAGGGCGATTTTGCAAAAGTTTTCCTTGAACAGTTTTTCTGCACATCTCAACATTTCTGCCCATTCTAAACACATTCCAACCATCAAAGTCATACCAGGAAACCTCATTTTTCTAAGCCTAACCCAGTAATGGTGAACCTTTTAGAGACCGAGTGCCCAAACTGCAACTCAAACCCAATTGATTTATTGCAAAGTGCCAGCACTGCATTAAAACCTGAAAACTGAGGTTTTAGTTTAGAAAAAACAACTCACAGCCAGTCCAAGCAAATATATTTGTATACTTGGCAGTGCACTGACCAGCCATGCAAAAGCTCGGATGAGTCGCACCTAATGAGTTGCGGCTTGTGATGTCATCGCCTGGCACCACTACTTTTTTGAGCATGTGCAGCACCCCTATGTGGGCTGTTATCCGATGCTTGGCTGCTGGGGTGATACTGGGGCGACTTGGCTCATGTACCGACAGAGAGGGCTCTGCATGCTGCTGTGGCAGGTGTGCCCTAGGTTCGCCACCACTGGCCTAGTCTGTAACTAGATTCCTATTCATTCATGATTCAGTTTCCTGTGCAGCTGGAAATTCTGTGCAGTTCTAACTTCCTGACCCTCACCTACACCACTGTTAAAAGGCCGCTTTGGAACAAAGGCTAACAGAGGTAGCGTTAGAGAGTGGCCCAGGCAGGAACCCTGAATCTTTCATTGTAAGCCTGGAATCTTTGGGAAGTCATCTGCCCTACCACACTGCTGTTCATGGATTGAATTAAAGATATTTGCTAATGATCTCTGCTGTATGTGATCCCCCTGGATTAATTGGCCTTTTGCTTGCATGTACTTCATGTCCTGCTCCCCCTTGAATTGTTCTGCCTGAGGTTTTTTTCTGAAATCAAATGCTCTCTTCTTCTCTGATCATGCCCTAATAAGTAGGGGTGACCTTAGGGGATTGAATCCTTCAAAGATGCACAGAGAGAAACTTTAAAGCAAATATAAATAAGCACCTGCAAAATTTGTTTTGGGTATCTATTATTACCTGATGGCTAAGCAAACTGCACCCCTCCCCCCACATTTGCTTTCATCTTTCTCAACCCTTTGTAAAGATGCATTTGCTCAAGCCTGCTCCTCAGAGAGCTAGCAGGGCAAGAGTTGACCCAGACAGGTGGAGATGATGTGAATTGAAGGGTGCCAGGTTGGGAAAGACTCAGGAAATGAAATGAAAACAAGGCCTGTTCCATAACACTTTGCTACCTGAGGTGGATCAAATCTCTCTTCCATTCCCCTCTCCCCCACTACATCCAGTGAACATACAAGGCCGATCAAATTATTTTGTCCCCCGAAGCAGAAAATTCTACAAAAGCTTCCGTTGAACTCAGACTTAGTCATACATAAAGTAAACCCACTGAAAGGGATAGAAGTTAGGAATGGAACCTACCTGATAATAAATTTAGAACAACAATTAGCTACCTTCTCATGATATGAAGGATTCACTGCTTGAGGTGGTTGCCTCACTCTGTCTAACGTGGGCCCTGAATTCAAAGTGCTGCTACTTACTCTGTGGAACCAAGAGAGCAACTCTGTGTATTTATGTGATCTAAAAATATTTTTGACAATCTAGACTTAATAGTACAGGCCTTATTTATGGACCTTCGCTTACAGGCTCACACACTATACAAGTGCTGGTAATTTAACTGTCACTCAAAGCAAGAAGAAAGAAACCTGCCTTTCCTGCAGGCAGTCCTACAGGATTTCTCATCAATAAAATTGTTGTTGTTGCCACCACATCCTGTATAGTTGAATTGCAAACAGGTTTGTATTGTTGCCTTGTAGTAAAAGCGAGGAACCGAAGCAGAACAGAATCCTTCATCTTTGGGACTATAGCAGAATGAAGGGCCACCTTGGAAGAGAAAAATAAAAAGAATACATTTGCATTATTAGTATGGGTCAGTTTTTAAAGTAGGTATCACAGCAATGTTGTCATGTCCCTGTTTGAAGACTCCCCTGCAAAGGAAGAGCTAGAGGACCAGGAACCACCCACCACCAGTTAATGCCCAGGATCTGCCAGTAGACCAGTCTGGGCCTTCAGGGTGACTATTGCCAGACTATCACTTTATGGAGGACAAAAGGGGAGGCAGAGAAACCCCCAGCCATTGTGGAGAATAATGCCTGAAAAGACTGGAGCTCAGAAGGAGTGCTCACCTCAGCCAGAGGCTGCCTTGTGAGAAGGTCTATTTGCACATAGGAGGCTTGCTCGCAAGGGGAAACTTTTCCACTGCTGTCACTAACAGCTCATGGGTAAGGCTTGGGTGAGGTTCTGAGAGCGTCTGCATAAAATCAATAGCTAAGGTCAAGAGAGTTACTCGAAACAACATTACCCGAGCCTTCCTGGATCCAGGCAATGCCCTGACTTTTTCCTGGCATGAGCACCTTTGTTTTGAGCTCTCACTATCTTCTGCCTGCAGCTCATCTGCTGTGTGGCCTTGTGACCTTGCTGCTCGTTACCCAGACTGGATTTTGATTCTCCTTCTGCCTGCTCCTTGTATGCTGAGCTGCCCTGCAACCTGTTTGTCTGTCCCCTGGACTGCTGAGGCCTTGTCTTTTGCCTCTTCCCTGTTTGTACTGACTACTTTGGCACTGTTGTGCTCTCAAACCTGCAACTGCTAGGGTCAGACTTCAGAAATGTGACTGACACTAGAAATTCAAAACCTGACTCCAAAAATGACTTGCTATTTTTTAAATAAGCATGCAACTTATTTTTGTTCTTTGATACCTGATTTAATGGGCTCGAAAAGGTGGAACACATTTTGTGTCTCACCATGGGCAAGGCTGTCCAACAACATTCAGAAAGCCGAACATTCCCCACCCTGGCACAGGAGCTCTGCCCATGTGAGTGGGCAGACTGGGAGTGGTGTGGAAGGACATCTCATAGCAGGACTTTAGCCCTGGGAATCCCAGTCTGTTATCCAGGGTTCCCCAGGCAGCCCTGTCCTCTTCTCCCTCAGCCACGGTTTGGTGGTTTCAGGGCTTTTATGCCATGTCCCCCTATCTAAAGAGGTTGAAATCATAGAACAGTAGAGTTGAAAGGGGCCAGAGGGCCAGTGGGTCCAGCCCCCTGCTCACTGCAGGACACCAAGTTAAACCAACCCTCTCAAATGGCTGTCAAGTTGCATCATGAATGCCTCTAGCGTGTGAGAGCCCACAGCCTCCCAGAGTAATTGGTTCATTGTTGTACTGCTCTAACAGTCAGGAATTTTTTCTTGATCTCTAGCTGAAATCTGGTTTCCTGTCACTTGAACCCATTATTTCATGTCCTGCACTCTGGGATGATGAAGAGATCCTATCCTTTCTCTTTGTGACAACCTTTCAAGTACTTGTAAATGCTATCTTATCTCCCCACACTCCTCTCTTCTCAAGGCTAAACTTGCCCAGTTTTTTCAATCTCTCCTCATAGGACTTGGTTCCAGTCTCTGGATTGTCCTTGTTGCTCTCCTCTGAACTCTTTCCAGCTTGTCTGCATTTTCTTAAACTGTGGTGCCCAGAACTGGACACAGTACTCCCGATGAGGCTTAACCAGTGCTGAGTAAAGGGGAACTAGTATTTTTCCAAATATGCTGTTACTGGTATAAGAACTTTAGCTTAAAAGAGGTTGCTGGCATTTTACCCCTTTTTCTTTTGTCCCTGCCTGTTTTTCCCTCAGCCCTGCACCACCACTGAAATGGGGGCTTTGATGGTCAAATGTGGGAGGCAAAATAGAGGCCAGCCTGGAGCTACCTACACATGGGATGTAACAGAGGTCTCTTTGGGCTTGGACCTGAAGGAGAAGAGCTTCCAGCAGCAAAAACAGATCTATGTTTGCAGAATGAAAGGTATGACCTCATCCCCTATTGCCTCCATGGTGAGCCACATCCCACCCTGGCATAGGAATGCAGAGGGTCTGTTCCCTCAAGCTCAACAGCCCTTAGTCTTGTATTAAAATAATTACTTCTGATTGGTAGGCAGTGGTCCAGGCAGGATACTTTACTGTGAAACCGGTTTTCATTTCCTTCACATCCCCCATAGTAGAACTTCTCACATCTCATGGATGTCAGGTTGAAGAAGTATCTTTTTATCATAGATCTACAGATTCCTTCACTGACTTCTAGTCTGCATCTTTCAGGCACTCCTAAAGTGAAAACAACAATGAGCAAAGCCACCATCTACATTAAATCATTAAGTCAGCTATTATGTCCTGCCATGCACTGTGACTTTCTCAGGTCCCTGATGGGACATATTGGACATCAATGAGTGATTGGTCATTAGCTATTGTAGCTTGTCCTTTTCTGAAGAACTCCCTTCTAACAGTATATCCACTTGCTAGAAGCAACCTGTGCATATACACCCTAGAATCATAAGGCTTTTTCAGTCCTCTGCTCAATGCAGGAAATTTAGAGTGAAAGCAACCACGAAAGTTCCAGTGAGGGAGAGTGACATGTCCTCGAGTAACTGATTCCGTTGTTGACCTGCTCTCCTGGTCAGTGTTTCTCCCTGGTGCACAAGTAAAATCAACACTGATATAACTTACACCAGGGGTAAAAGCTTATAAGAGAAGAATTGGCATGATTCCACAATCCAGTTTTAGGACCTGAATATTTTATAACAATAACTTACTCTTGATCTTGCCACACTTTTCTAAACATGCTTGCAAAGTTGGAAAGTTGTTTTCATTTCCCTCACAGCCACCATATGTAAACTTCTGACAAGTCTGAGTATATCTGTCATAGAACCACCTGGCAACTAAGGCTCCACAGTCATCTTCAGGTGGCGGCTGCAGGCAAATATCTCTGTGGTCTGAAGAAAAGAAAAGAAAAGAAAAGAAAAGAAAAGAAAAGAAAAGAGAAAAATAAGAGGTCATTTAGGCATATATCCAAGCAACAAAGTTTTGGAAAAGAAATCTATGTGTTGTAAATAGAGCCCAATTCAAGAGCAGGAGTTTTGTGGCAATGAAACATAGACATTTGGCCACCATGTGAGCAACTTATTTTGAAGAAAAGGTGTACCACCTCTCAACCTATGAAAATAAATATATGCTTTGTCTAGATTTCCCTACTCCGGTTCTTATACCCAGCTCCAAAACAGTTCTAGAAGAAAGTAAATCCCACTAATTCCAATGATTTATACTTCACTTTTTAAAAGAACACCCCCCACACACTTGCACACACATGCTTCTTTCTGTTCTAAAACACCCCCATGCATTTTTGGAGAACTGGGCATTTTATCGTTCTTCTTCTAATGATGGACAGGGATATAGGAGAAATGGACAAATACTCTGGAATAAGTATGGCTGGCTGGAACCCTGATCAACAGCACTCCATGATGCAATGTTTCTTGCAAGTTCAATTTGCATTTCTGGATTCTTTACCATGCTTTATATTTAACTATCACACAGTCCTTCTTTAAGGCTGAAATCATTTATATCTTTCTATGCGAGTAAATGCCCATGAATTAAATGGGGCTCACTTCTGAGCAGGCATGCATAAGGTTATATTGTAAATCTATAATATTTAAGTAAAATTTACATACAAACCCAGTGGATTTAGTGAAGCACAAGCACTTTCCCAGCCACATACATCTCAGAACAATGGAAGATACCCATCCCGTCATCACCCATCTGCTAGCTACAAGATGGTAAAAAAGAAGAGCAGGAGCATTGCCGTGAGCAACAAGGTGGCTCAGTCACGCCGGGCAAAAGGGTTATCCGGCAAGTTGGCACTTTTGCCATGATGCCAAGTGCCAAAGGCAGGCGGCAGCCGTCCTCCATTGCCAGGCGATGGTGAAAGGCTGCCCCCAAACGGCTTACCAATCCACGGCGGTACTATCACAGCCTTAGCACAGCCGCACTGCAGAAGCATCCAGAGCGAGGCGACCACCAAAAAGTTTGCACAAGCCGGGCAATCCATGGCACGTGGCTCGAGGGAGGCCAAGACCGCCAAACAACTGCAAGGGCCGTCCTGAAGGTGCTTGCGCCGATCGTCCTCCGACCCATCGCTTTTATAGGACCCACAGCCGCCCTTAGCCTCGACTCCTCCGCTCGCCGTCCAGTGCGCGCGTTTCCCAGGCCGGGGGGATCCACGCCCCTTTCCGGCAGGCGCCGTGCAGCTCTTGACAGAGGCAGATGCGCTCCGCGCGCGTCATCCGCCCTTCCAAGGAAGAGATTCCGCGATGAGCACGGGGGCATCCGGAAAAGGAGAGAGGGCGAGGCGCAGAGGCAGTCGTGGGCCTTTGAAGACTGACGATGAGGAAAGAACCGCGGGGGAGGAATTCCTTCCCCATCTCGCTGTCGAAGAAAGCAGCGTGGAGCCTGGGCAAGGCGCGAAGGTTTCCCTGCCTGACGTGGGCTCAGGCGCGATCATGAGCGCCTTTCCCGCTAGACGGGGGTGGCGTGCCGAGGGAACAAAAGCGAGGGAAATGGTGCTGTGCTTGCACGTGCGCTTCTCTAGCGCTGTGATCCACATTAGTTCTACCTCGAAATTGAGGTCTGTTAAGTCTCATGACTGAATTACATTAAATCTCGTCGCTCTCAGTGAGGCTGACTACATCTGAATGTGGGGTGCAGTGTTGTATCTAGTGGAGGCTGGGGTTTCTGATGTTAGTGGGGTAACTCTCTGGAGTGGAGAATGAACTCTTAAGGAACTCTTCGTGGTACTGAACCCCATTTTGGGAATGAGTCTCAGGACCATGGATAGCACCGTATCAGATCAGCTAAAAGCTGGAGTGCATAGCCATTCCATGAACTTCGAAGCCACAAGGCTCCACAGGCTGTATCCACTGTTAGTCTAATTTAGGCTCATTCAGTTCAATAGTCCTACTTTGGGACTGACACATGCTATAACTTTCCTCTAAATAACTGCAACTCTCTGTCTGGTTTTGAGGCAGAAAGAAAATCCTTCTAACTGAAGATGGTGCAGATCAAACTATGGACCCGATCACGTTTTCTCAGCTTCTGATGGTTCAATATGCCAGCTGAATAGCATGACGTAAGGGAAGTAAAAAGGCCTATCTAGGAACCCTAATTATATGTGATTTAAGGTACAGTCCTATGTATGTTAAAAGAGAAAAAAGACCTACGACTTCCAGCATTCCCCAGCCAACAATGCCTAAAAATGATGCTCAAGAACCTATTCCAAGTGCAAAGATATGATTAAGGGAAAGCAGTTGCTAACTTTCCTAGGAGCTGGTGATGGTCCAAGTAAGAGTCAGGAGAGATTTCACTTATCAATTCTGAAGACAGACCTGTTCAAAAATACCTCTTACAGGTGGATTTTTTGTGTTTTGCCTTCTTGCATTTTATTTGTGCTAATAATCTCGTATCCCTGATTTCTCATTTTATTTTATTGGGATGCTTACTTTTCTGGCCATCTTGCTTGAATATAACCTCTCTTCAATTATGTGTCATCTCCTTGTCTATCTGTGCCTTGTTTATGATCCTGTGCCTTATTTTTGATATAAAAGATGGCATGGTTCTGGACTAAATTAGATGCATTTAATTCCTATTAAAGTCAATGTGTTTCATTAAACCAAGTGATGACCAACTTGTTCCATTGATTTCAATCAGGCCTAAGTTAAACTTAGTCTGAATTAGGGACAAACAAGAATTTTATGTGGTTTGTATTTTTAGAAGAACTTAGTGAAATTTGCAGTTTTCTTCATAAAAGGGATGAAAAGAACTTAAAGTTTTGAACATTTGAGAAAGCATAACTAATTATCTGTCCATTCAGACAAACAACATTGAGTAACTCTTAAGGGTGCAAGTGGAATGCTAGGAGTTATATGCCATTTTTTTTTCTGTCCACATGTGCACAGAATCAGTCCCTAACAGACGGGTTTAAATTTCTATGTATTCTCAACTATGTTTACAATGCTTTTTTTGTTTCCTGAACAGCTTCTCATCTTTAACAGCTTCATGACAGGCAGGTATAACATGCACCTCCTCGTGATGGAATTCACAGTACTAATTGAACTGGGGTGGGGCAGTTCATTGATTTTTAAAAGAACTTATCCAAATTTGCAGATTTCCTCATAAGCAGGATGGTAAGAAGTTGTAAACCATCCTAAGACATCTGTGAAGGGATGGTATAGAAAAGTTTTAAATAAATAAATAGGAAGTTGAAGTTTTAAAAATTAATGTGGAAGACAGCAAACTGACAGTTTTATCCATCTCGCAACTGAATATAACCTGTTGTCTTACTTTGGATGCTCTTCGCTTCTTCAAGGATAGGCTAGACATGCACATGGTGGGCATGTCGTGAGCTGAGCCGGGGAGACTAGATGGCCTGGGAGACCCCTTCTGATTCACTCTGTTTCTGTGTTTATTTTTTTCTGCTGTGTTGGTTAGTTTGAGAGTGAGGACCTACAGGGAGGGCTTGCCTTTTCATAAATGTTGTGCAGTGCCCTTATTTTTAACTTTGTAATGCTAGGAATATCACAATGACAAGAGAAGCAAAAGGTATATATCTTCACTGCATTATTGAAGCAGCTCTGATTAGGATGAACAACTCTATGAGATGTGTGAAGAAAGAAAGCAAGCCAAACTATTTTAAGAAAATAATTTAGGCTACAAGGTGGTTCCCAGATTACAAAGGCGTTCTGTTCCTTAGAAAACAGAAATTTATCTTTAAGCTGAATTTGTATGTAATTGGATCATGTGTAGTTGGCCTTCCACATTCACTGAGGTTATGGCTGCAGGACCCCTGTAAAAGTGGAAAAACGTGAATATCTCTAGTCCCTCCTCACAAACTCACCAGTGCCTCCTCTTTGCAGCAAGGAAATTTCAGAGAGATTTCCCTCTCTGGATGGGTGGGTCAAGAAGGCATGCTTTGGAGGTCTCTCTCTCTCTCCTTTTGCTTCTTCTGTCTCTCTGGTGATGACAATTTTCTGCAGTCATTTAAAAAAATTAATAGGCTTTATGATAGTTCATTCATAAGTACAAGTTGTTCTTAACTTAGATGTTTGTAACTTTGCTGACAAAGCAAAGTTGCTTGCACATGAATTAGGTGAAGCTGGCATCTTTCAAAAATTATTACTGCTGAGGTGTGTCTGGAAAGTCTTATTACACCAAGGTTCTGACTATTTATCTAGCTACTATTCCATCTTTCTGCAGAATACCATTAAAGTTAACAAAATTCAAATTAAAAACAAAATAGCATCACAACCAATGAAAAGCAAATGAAATCCACTTGGTCATTTTGGGAAACAGGATTCTGGACTACCAGTGTTTTTTTTAACCAGCACCATCTAACTCAGCTCTGATGTCTGATCTATGTATGATTACTGGGACTGATCACAAATAAAACCACATTCTAGTGCTCTCTTAAAGGCTTTGCTGTACCCAGTAGTTACGGCAGATCAGCACTGATTTGAGGCATTTGTATTTTAGAGCTAACCTATAGGGTCACTGGTACACTATATCTAATGTGCCAGTTATGAATGGAAATTGGTGTCAGTGGAGGACAACATAGTAAAAGTATGAGGGGTCTTCAAAAAGTTTCCACACTTTTATATTTTGTAAATATATTTTATATATTTTTTCTGATGGCACTAAAAAGTTGGTACGACCCTGGGGAAAATGCATTGCAAAAGAAGGTGACTATGTAGAAAAGTGATGTAATTTGTTTTTGGAATCCTTAATAAATAGAGTTTTAGAAAGTGTGGAAACTTTTTGAAGAACCCTCATGCAATACAAAATTGTACGGGGGTGTGGAGCATACATGGAAGTGTGCTCACTTATCACAATGCAAACAGAGAGGAGAAGCCCTAGGGTGCCTGATAGTTGCAGCTCTCTGCTGAGATTAGTAGGGCTTTCTGGGATGTTAGATAGTAAGAGGTAATTCCTCCAGATGAGCCAGTAGTCTTATTCAGCTTAAGGTCACTTCACAAATGTCAACATTAAACAGACCTCTGTTGGGGTACTCTTTGGGACTATGATTTTTTTTAAAGAAGTTTGCAAATGGTTTTGCACAGATTTCTGCACTTAGTACTTGCTAATGCTAGAGATCCTAAAAGTGCAGAAGCAGGTGCTAGAAAAAAACCCAGTTAAGGATGCTGACTTATGGACAGTGAGACAGAAAACCTGTCCTACAGCTCCCAGGATCCCAGAGCAAGCATGGCTATTTTTGTAGCACTTTTTTCTGTCTAAGGATGCACTGGATTGGTCCCAAAGGCAAAATTCTAGTAAAAGAAATGCAAGCACTGAAAGGCTATGTGGAGCAATTACATGCATGTTGATTTCAGAAGGATACTCCTGATGCATCCAATAGAGCTCAGTTCCTAGTACATATGTACAGAGTACCCTTCCCCAACTCGGTGCTTCGCAGAGGTGTCATACAGTTCCCATCATTCCTGGTGATGATGGAAGTTGCAATCAAAACATTTTTGTGGCGATGGGCATCAGGTTGGGGAAGGCTGATATTTAGGATATGTAAATAAGCTCCTGCTAGGATGGTCTCCTGCATCCCATGGGAGTTGGAGGAGGTAAACCTAGCATGTTTATTTTCTATATGTTTCTGTTTCTCCCCCCCCCCCCTGCATTTTCCCAGGTCATTTCCCAGCCCTCCCCCATTGTTCAGCCTCTCCGGCCTGGCAGGCAGAGAGGGCCAGACGTTTCCTTTGCAAGCCCATTTCCTGTGGAACGCTCCGCAGGGCTGGTGTTTCTATTGTAGAGAAAGTTGAAGCACACACATCCTGTCTCTAATGGCTTTCCCCACTCCCATCCCTCCCCCCACAAGTCACTCCATACTCCCTTCATGCAACACAGAGGGGTTCTATATTCCCTAGTGCCTTTGCCCACAGAACAGGGGTGTGTGTGTCTGTGTGATAATTCTGCACCCAGCATGCCAAGGGATTGTCTTTGCAAAGTTCTTGTCTCTGAGTAGTCCAGAGTTCTGTGTGGTAGGAACTGAGTTTCCTCTGCGTGTGTGTTTTAGAGAGGGCTGGGAAGTTTGCACATGCTGTGAAAGCAGAGAGAAGTGTGGGTTTCCATACATGAAAAAGGCTCATTTTGGCTTTTTGAGGCAGTGAGCACTGGAAGGGGGAGAGGAGGAGGAGGAGCAGTAGGGGGTCAAGCTGTGTGGTTTAATCGGATTAGGACAGATTCTGCTGATGAATTAAAAATCTTGCAAGTAGTCTGAAGAGCCCAGCAAGGGAGTTGGCTGCAGAGGAAGTCGCTACTTTGGGAAATTGGAATAGAGTCACAGAAAAAGTACGGCTTTTCTTGGGAGGTGAGGAAGGAGTGGAGGCTTCAGATATACTCACCTGTATCTCCCCCACTTCATTCTCACACTGTCTCTCTCTCCTGTGAAGCAGCAATGCCAGCAATCAATATAGAAGATCTGAGTGAGAAGGATAAACTGAAAATGGAAGTGGAACAGCTCCGGAAAGAAGTCAAGTTGGAAAGGCAACCTGTGAGTACTTGTACCCGTGTGTTTCTCTGTGTGTGCCATATTTCTTTGTTGAGGTTGCTGGAAGAGGCGTGTTTGCAAAATGTTCACTGGCTGTGTAATTTGGCAGAGAAACTGACTGACCTTGTTTAAGGAGGCCCAGATTTATTTATTTTTCTAAAAGCTCCATTGCTGTTGGAACCGTTGAAGAAAGGACCAGCTTTTCCAAAAAAGGAGAAAAAAGCAAGCCCATTTTCAATCTCTTTGGAGATCTAAACAGAACCAGTGGACTTGAAAGTCTGAGTTATATTCCACTGTGAATAATGAGTAGCTTAGCTGCTCTAGAAAGGTGCAAAATCCATCGGGGTGTGAAGGGCTCTGGAGGAGGCTGAGTACCTTTGGAACAGGGATGGAAAACATATGGCTCTCCTGCTGATGTTAGACTGCAATTCTCATCACTCTTAGCTAGTAAAGCCAAGGTTAGGGATGATGGGCATTGCAGTCCAACAACATCTGGATCACCACATGTTCCCCATTTCTTTATTTTATTTTATTATTTTAAAAACCTGGCTACTTTTGCCCCTTTTGGGTGTTTTTTCTGATAATTTTCATGTGATACCTTTCTGAGCATGGTGTCTTCATAATAATCACTTAAATATTACGTTGGTGTTTTGCTATCAAATGGGACATACAAGAAAATGTTGTAGTGTGGAGTTTTCCTCAGGATTCCAGCTGTGCTCACTTCCAGGATACTCCATTCCAGCCTGCCCTCCTTCCTGTTTCCTTCCTTGCCCCTCCCCCCAGCATTCAGTCAAGCATTTTACACCTAGTGAACATTCTCAGTTTTCATTCAATTTTCTCTCTTCTTTGATTTCCGAAACCAGACCTACTAATTTCCTCTCCAAACCCCCTGCCCACCCTCTCTGTGTGGATGGCATTGTTCTGGCAGTCAGATAACAGATTTGCTGTTACTATCTAAGGTTATTAATAAAATAGGGAAATGTGAGTAATTGAGGCCCTGTAGGAGAATGATGAGAAGTGTCCTTGCAGTGTTGTTTTCATGTGTTGCAGGAAATTTAAATATAAATAAATATATAAATCTCTATAAATAAATTGATAACCTCTCATCGAAGAAATACCTCACACTTTAGGAACACTGGAACCTGGAACATTCTGAGTGGGTTTTCTACAATATAAGTCCTACTCAGAGAGGACCCATTGAAAGTCTGTCAGAATAATGCAGACAGAATAATCAAGTAGCAAAATAAGAGCCCCAACAGCAAAATTGAGCAGCAAAGAAATCAGCTGGCTAGCATCTTCCTTGGAGGACCACCGAAAGGTAGGCAGTGACAGAATCTGGTGAACTCCGGCCAGAAGGTTGCTCTACAGACATGGTGCAGCAGCCCAAGAGGACTTCTGCGTTCCCACCTACCTGCTCTAGCTCAGACAACTGCAGACATGGAAGAGGTTCACCACTCTGATTTCAGTATGTAGGCAGCAATAAAAGGGAAGAGGTACTTGGTAAGACATCCTGACTTAAAGCCCAGCTCACCTAGTCCTTTAAGATGCAATTCAATGATCTGCTAAAGAACTTTGCAACTAAGAATCTAGTGCCTAAATTTGTTCCCCTCTTTCATTTTGTGTCATATCTTCTAGATTCTAAGTCTGCAGGCAGGGATTGTTTTTTTTTTTATCTTTTTAAATCATTTTGGGAGAATATTTCACTGAAGAGTGGGATAAAAATGCTAGAAACAAACAGGTAGGGATTCATTTGGAACAGTACTGGATTCATTTGTGATCCATTTATTGAGTTCTGGTTAATGCATTTAATAAGCAGTGGCATTTTGGAGCAACTGAAGTTCCTGGGTTTTCTTAAAATTCAGTGCCCCTCTCCCATGCACACACAAAGCATAGTAATATAGATCAATCTGGATGTTACAAAACCACAGATCCTTTAGCCGAGTCTACCTACTTCAGGAAAAGCTCCAGCTGACGAACCATCCTAAAAAGGCAGTCCAAGAAATTGTGGCTACCTGGCAGCTAAGGAAAACCCACAGACTATGAAGTTGATTCTTCAGGGGGAGTCAAACTGGCTTTATACCTAAATCCAAACAAGAATTGTTTCATTTTTTCTGATGGTTGCATTTTACAACCCCAAGAGGGGAGCAGGACCATCTGGATTTTCTTTCTCAGCCACCAAAATGTCTTGGTCTGTGTCTGCCCGCCTCCCACCCTCAGAACCACAGTTTGGGAATTACTGACACCAGGGAACAGCTATTGACATCAGCTGCAGAACTGATGACACAGCCAGAACTAAAATGAAAACTGTAATTACAAGGAAAGGGGAGAAGCGTGAACAGGCTAATTATGGGGTATGTGACAGGAGGGCTAAATTTGGGACTTTTATTGCTTAAGTACAAGCAGTGTGCGAGGAAGAAAATGACTGATGACTAGGGAGGAAATTAAGCAAATTGGGCACAATCCAGACATTCCTACTGTGCAATGTGAGTTCTCTTATGCAAGCTACTTTGGGAAGGAGTGTTTGATAGCTATCAAGGTAAGTTTCACTGCATAGTAATCTGCATACTTTCATTTTTGATGTTTTCCTGAGTCCCGCAAAAGTAAACTATACACATTGGATCTGCTGGTTGTAGAAGGTCGCTTCACCCAGTTTTAGGAGATTCCCTTTCCACTCAGAAGGGTCTCCTGATTCTCTATGCAGTATATTTAGGGGCTAGAGGGGGCTGATATGGGGATGAAGAGGCTGAGAAGTCCACTTCTGTCAGAGTAACTGATACAGCACAAATCTGGACCCAACGCAAAGTAAACAGCCAATCCATACCTCTGAGTGTTCCTGTAAAATACCACATCGCCTTTTCAAATATGACTCTATAGGGTTACAAACTATTTTCCTCTTTCTTTTTAAGGTTTCTAAATGTTCCGAAGAAATTAAAAATTACATTGAAGAAAGATCTGGAGAAGACCCTCTGGTGAAAGGCATTCCTGAAGACAGGAATCCATTTAAAGAGAAAGGAGGATGTATTGTTGCTTAGATTAGGAGAATACTGTTAAGCAATTTTGAAACTGGAATAAAAAGCATTGTTGGGAATTAGCCTGTTTTAAGTTCCAAGAATCCTTATTAAATAAACACAGAGAAACTGAATTTTTACCAGAAAGAAAGTATCTGCTGATGAATTTTTCCCTGAAGCAGATTCTTGCTAAATACATTCCTAGAAACTGTTTCCTACTCTTTTAATTTCCTGTGCTTGCTGATTTTAATAATAATAAAATATATATTTGTATAACTTAATACAGTGTAATTTTGAATTCAGTATACATGGTGAAGGTTAAATGGGTGTTTTTGCAGAATATAAGACCTTAAAATTGAGATTGCTTCAGTACTATCCTGCCATATAAAAATAGTTCATTCATATGTTGCTGATTATGATTATGTGAGCAGATTCTGTTTGGCTTTAAACTCCTTACTCCAGATTAAGCCCAGTTAGTACCAATAACTGGAAGAGTGCAGCCCAGACACATACCTGAAGTGGTAAAATCAGTGAAACAAACTTCCAGTATTTATATTCTTCATCTTCATCCTCACCCCTATGTATTTATATCCCACTTTTCCATCCAAACAGAAAGCCCAAAGTAGTTAACATTCAGCATAATATCAAAGATCAAAAGATCCTATGAAAAGGTCTCTCACAATGAAGAAACAACAAACCAGCTTTCAAATCAGAACTTAAAGCAGTTAATAAATACAAAACCAGAAACTTAATAAAATGCAAAGAATATTTTAACCAATACTCCATTTAATTTACTCCACACTTGTAATCCTCCATTCTAGCAGCCAATACAGTAAACTGATAGTACCAATAAGAAGCAAATTATAGAACAGGAAAAAACTACAGAATTAATACACTTAATTGTGCAAAATACAAAAAACAGTCAAATGCTGACACCCCTCATGTTGAAACTGCTTGAGGTATTTTAACTAAGGTTGCTATGTTAGTTTCTTAGCGCAGAACAGTATCTTCAACACCAACACGCAGAACAGTATCTTCAACACATGAGTCTGTCCAGCAGATGCCTTGACTCATGGCATCGAAAGGCCATTGAAAAAGCATAGTTCAAAAGCAATCTTATGTCTGACTTAGGCTGATTCGTAGGTGTAAGGGATGGCAGCCTTACAGTGCCTGCAAATTATTAAAAGGAGGACTGCAACTTTCAATCAAGTTGATGTCATTGCCCCAGAAAGGATAATTGGCATGCAGTGTATCAATTTCTTTTCACAAGAATGTCTCTTCTCATACTACCAGGACACATATGCATCACTTCAAAGCAAAGAAGACATCCTTTTATTTGCTTTAGAAAAGCTGTTTTATGCACATAGCAATTTTACTGGAAGAATAATTGGCAAAAAAAAACACTTGTATGACTGATCAATGAACAATTTTTGGAAGTCCTGGTTTAAAATTCTTAGTCCTCCCATGCTAAACGTTTGGCTGCAGAGACAGAAATTTCCGCGTAACTATTAGGCTAAATTCCAATCCGATTACGGGGCGGGAGTACATGACAAAATGCAGACTTCTTCAGAATCCGGTGTCGATTCAATCATTGCTGGCGGAGCGTCCTGACCTAAAGGGGGAGGTTCAAGAGCCGGATACCCTGTCGCTTTAATTAGGCCATCAGGGCATTGCGCATGCTCCGCGGGCTCACAGAGGGAAGTCATGGCTCTGCACTGTTTTACCCAGCTAGGACGCAAAGCGCGATGCAAATTGTTGCTGTCGCCCTCGTGGCTTTTCCGCGGCCCCCTTTCCGCCCACTCCTCGAGCAGCAGCAGCAACACTGCCGACGGCTTTCCCGCCGGAAATCACTTAATATACACGCAGGAGCATTTCGCTTTGAGATCGTCTCTGAGACAGGTACCGGAAAGAAGTGGCCACTGCACTTCCAATGTCCATTTGCGTAGTGAGTTGCGCGGCGGAGCGGGTAGCGGGAGGCAGCCTGCGTTAGAGCTGGCGGGTCTAGACCGCCCGTCTCAGGAATGGGAAGGCAAAAAGGGAATGTCTGACCTTGCTGCCGTCGGGCCCTTCACACTTCAAAGTTTGCCTTACCTCTCCAGCGGTTTTGTTAGCGCGCAATATCGAGGGTGACAGATATCAGTTGACTGACGCACTGTACCCACGATCGCTTGGAAGCCAGTCCTGTTTAGTGTCTCCCTTTTGTTTTCTTGATAGCGCCCTCCGCTATTGTGGTTAAGTTAACTCAACCTGCGTGACGAAAATAGTCCTGTGCACGTAATCTGGATGACCACCCCGTGGACCATAAACAAGAAACACGTTTAAGATTGTGCTGTTAACCCTGAGTCCTCCTATTTCATGTAAATGCAAGCTTTCGATTATGGCACCCAAGCAATAATAGCTCTCTTCTGCCAGTGTCGAGCCCCTGCAACTGAAATGCAGGGTATACTGGTGTTAAACATGGGTGCTCTAATTAAATGATCATGAAGTTCCCAAAGCTAGTAGCTGTTGCCATATTTGGTGATACACAGGTAGGTTTCCATGTAAAGAAGTACCTGCTTCCCTTTGTTCATTGGGAAATTCAGAGTTCTAGACTTAAAGGACTCTAAAGGGGAGAAAGAGAAACAATAATAGAATTAAATTATTTCTATTATAAATAAAATATTATTAGAAATTCTATTATTTCTATAGAATTAAATAAAAGCATTACAACAGTGGCAATATACTACTTATGTAACAGAACATTCATTAGACTGATAAAATCTTATAAGTAAGAGAAAGACTAAACTTCATGGTAAGAACTTGTCAAACAGTATAGTCCACTGGATACTACTGCAATGCAGCTTCACATTTAAGGCTACAAATTTATTTAAGACTACAAAATTAAGTATTTTATTTTAAAAATATATATCCTGTTCTTCATCAGTTGATTTCAGTGGACTATAACGATTTCTGTATACGGAAATGAAAATAATAAAATGCATCATTCAACAACAGCAACAGAGAAGTAAAAACTTAAAAACATAAGAATGGAAAATACAAAGCTTCAAAAAATTCATCCTTCACACTCCTATGCATGTCAACTGAAAAGTATGTCTAATTGAGTTCAATGGAGTTTATCCTCAGGAAAGAGGATAGGGATCATTTCCTTAAATTTCTAAATGCACCAAAATGATTTGGTAAAATCAAGGCCAATAAAGTGGAGTGAGGCACCCATATGTGGTTGCAGAGCTGGATAAACAGCAAATTGTGCCACTCTCCTTCCTGTGTCCCAGCTAGGAGAGCCCACCAGCTCCTAGTGGGAAACTGGCTGCTTTCCCATCATGGCATTTGCTGCAGCGGTTGGGCTGTTTGGAGGAGCCAGCCTTGCTCTGTTCCTCCATGCACTAGAGCTGTCGTGAGATCCTAATGGTGTCCCACAGTAGTTTCTGAGATCATGGCCAAATGCCACAGCACACTCATTATACAATAATGTACATAAATAATGGTGTGTTGTCATGATGATACACAACATAATGCCATCTGCTGTCTCCTAAATGACTGTAGTTGGAAGTAGCAACTTCTTCATGGTGCATGCTACTTCGGGAACGCTTTTCCACAAGAAGTTACAGAATTTACATAGGTTAGAAAGGGATGGAAAACCTTGCTGAAGTACAGCTCCCATTAGCTCAAGTCAGCTTTGTCAGGAATTACTGTAATTCACCTACAGCACTTAGAGGGCCACAGGCTCCCCACATCTGCTTTCAGAGATACTTAAACAAGAGGAAAGGTACCGTATTTTTCGCTCTAGAAGACACACTTTCCCCCCCTCAAAAGTAAGGGGAAATGTCTGTGCATCTTACAGAGCGAATGTGTGTGTGCCCAACGCCCGGGATGCTGCCGGCCCACCTGCACCACGTGGCACCACCTGGCTGGCACACGCCCTGCCTGCGCTGCCCCCCCCCCCCCCCCCCGCAGCGCAGGTGAGAGCTGTGCCGCTCGGGGAGCGGAGCGGAGGAGGAGGAGCCGTGGGCTTTAACCTGCCGGCTGCATGGAGAGACGGACTGCTCACCCCCACCGCCCGGGAAAACCTGCCACCGCCCCGCTGCCCGGAAGACCACCGCCGGCACGCTGCTGGCCCGGCTGCACCACACCTGGCCAGCACGTGCTCGGCACGCCCTGCTCCCCCCCCTCCTCCCGCGCAGGTGAGAGCTGTTAATCGCAGGTCGGTGTGTGTTTTCAAATGGCAACCCATCTTTTAATGAAGCCCAGGAGGAAGTGATGGGGAATATGCCTGTGATTATCAGGAAGCTTTCCATGGATCCCTCCTCTAAAAACTAGGTGCATCTTATGGTCAGGTGCATCTTATAGAGCGAAAAATATGGTAATTTGGCTCCTTCTCTGCTTTCCTTCCACTGGCAGGCTAAGTTGTGTTCAAGCAGACTTTGTGCTTATGAAATGGCCTGTTGAGTAAGTGCTGCTTTTATTTTGTAATCATTGGTGTGTTTTTATGTGCTTTTAATGTATTTTATTATTGTTTTGAATGTTTTTAATTATGTTTGTTAGCCACCTTGAGTGCCATTTTCTTGATGGAAAGGCAGAGCATAACAAGGGCACAATCTTTTGCATTTCTCAGACAGCTTGACTGGTTGGGGGATTCTGTGAGTTATAGGACATATTTCTGCCTAAACATTTGCTGACTTTCCCTAGTTAGCCTGGCTGGTTGAGGGATGCTGGGAGTTGTAGGACTTACAGGGGAAAAGGAATCCCCCCAGATTAAATGGGGAAACCTTCAATGAAAGTCCTGTCTCACCAGAAATATCTGTGTACTATATTGTGCCCTAAATAAATTAATTCATGGTTGATATATATTCATCTATGTTAGCTATGACAGTTAAATGACAAGACATTTCATGAGCTGAAATTGTGTGAAGCAGGTGCTATGAGAGTTGCATGAAGATGGAATAAGTTGGGAATCTTTGGAATGGATGTTGAGCCTTGGATGTTGTCTTCATGCCCTGTTCCCTAGGAAACCTTATATAGACAGTTCTTCCAAACTAGAAGGTGCAAAGGGTCCTGCAATAAGCACTGATCAGAAGAGTGTAATGTATAACTAACAGCACTATTTTTTTCTTAGGATTCAGAGGCATTCATCTGTTGGTAACATTCATTGTTACCAACTTCATTGTTTCTCTTACAGAGTCATTTTTCTTGTGTAATGATGTGGGTGGGAAGCCCAAGATTTTTAAGCACTGGTGTCCAATGTGCACCATTCCAACCTTGTTCATTTTATAAGCACGGATTCTTTTAAAAATAAAAGAAAATGGTGCGGCTGTCATTGCAATCAACACCAGGTCAGCCCTTTTAAGACAAAAATCAGCTGACTTCTGTTCATTCTCTCTCCTTTCCCCCCTGAAGTTAGCTTTTCATGACTTTAAGTGAATAGCAACTGCAAAAGGCAATGAATATTGGCTGGAAAAAACACTGCCTGAATTTGTCCCTATTGTAAAGGAACTGTTACAATTTGGAGCTTTGTTTAGAGCCTTTAGATGATTATGAAGCTTTGGAAAAACCTCTTGCATTTTAAACTACTGATAATTAAGTTGTGGATGTACCCATTCTTACAACCACAACACACAGGAACACTGAACATTTGATCCTGATTTATGCTGGATCAGTTACAGTGATGAAAGTGGTCTCCTCTGCCTCCTCCTTTGTGTAGAAGCCTCTCCCCAGCCTCCTGAAAAGTCAGGAGAACCTGTTGAATTAGGGGTGGAGAGGAAAAGAAATCCCCCCAAATTAAATGGGGGAAGCTTCTATGAGAGCTTTCTCTCCCTGGCCGATCTCTTCCTCTTGCAGAAGTCAGAGCCTCATTCCAACTCAAATCTTGTTGCTTCTTGCAGGCTTTTGTCTGGATATGTGGGTATTTGCACCATCTGTTCTCCCCCAGTTCTGGCATTTGCAGCAGCCTTGAGGCTAGCTCTGGCTCAGGATTCAGAACCCTGTGAACCAGTGCGAGACAGAGGCAAAGAATGGCATCGGTCCTGAAAGTGCAGGACTGGCATGATGCATTGCCTGTGCTAACATTGTGAGTAGCTGCTCCAGCGCTGGCAGAAGTTATAAACTGGATTAGCAACCATTGAAATAAGAACACAACATTCCAATTACTGCTCAAAGAACAAACCGCACTGCCCTGATTACTGAACACAGGGGTATGCTTTGTTGCTTTGGAAGCTGGTTTCATTTAAAGTTACAAGGCCATTAGATGATTTAATCAAACACTATTAACTAACAAGTTTAATATTCTCTCGCCAGCTATTAATTTTGTTTTCTTTTTAACCCTTTCAGATGAGATGAGGAAATGATACTTAACTCAGTAAGGTGTTCCTATATAACTGCCTCTGCACCAGTCTTGGTGACTCAAGTCCTTCTCTGCTAAATCAAATTATGTTCAGATCTTTTTCCAAGACTCCAAAGAAAAAAAAAAGGGAGATGCTCTGCCTAATGAGAACATTACTGTATTTGTGAGCCCTGTTGGTAAAAATACTAAATTGAGAAGGCCAATGGAATTAAACAGTTGGTCATAACCAGTCTTATTCAACTTATGGTAGTTTGTTTGTTTGTTTGTTTATTTAAAAATTTTCTATCCTGTCCAATTACAAAAAGTCTCAGGATGGTCGTACAATAAAAAAATTAAAAAGCACAGTATCACATCCTCTATAAAACCTCCTCAATTGAAATAGCAATTAAACCTTAAAATATTGGGAAAATAAAAAGTTCCACTGCTATCAAAGGGACTATAGTTAATCTTTGATCTCTGTAGCCAAAGTGGTGTGATATAAAAATTTTTCCAGTGCTATATTTTCTCATGTAAAAAATCAATTTCATAAATTAATTAGTATAAATGAATGAACCAATTGGAAATACAATATTTGGCAAATTTGTTGGTTTCAAAGTTGTAATTAATGGTTTTCAAATGATTATCCCTAGCAAGTATGTAAGAGCATACATATACAGGGTGTTTCATAAAGTACGCAGTTTTTAAAAATGCAATAAATCTGCCAAAATTGAAGCAAAATTCAAAATTTTTATTTAATTTCATTCAACATATACTTCGATTTAATAATGAAAAATGATATTGAGCATAAATATACTTTTTTGTCCTCTTATATTTGTTGTATTGAGAAAAAAATTACAAAGGACACTTTTTAAAAAAATGTTGTTTATTGATATGTTCAATTAGATTGCATTCTAGGACAGTGATGGCAAACCTTTTAGAGACCGAGTGCCCGAACTGCAACCCAATACCCACTTATTTATCGCAAATTGCCAACACTGCAATAAAACCTGAAAACAGCCAGTCCAAGCATATATATATGCAGAGCACTTGCTAATGAGTTGCGCCTTGTGACATTATCGCCTGGCGCTGCCACTCTTTCCAAGCATGTGCATGGTCCCTGTGTGCACTGGTATCTGATGCTTGGCTGCTGGGGCGATACTGGGACAACTTAGGCCTTGTGCCGACAGAGAGGGTTCTGCATGCCCGCTGTGGCATGTGTGCCAAAGGTTTGACACTACTGGCCTAACCCTACCCTGGTGCATACCCCTAACGCAAATAAAGTTCCATTGAATATAGGGCGATTTTGAAAAAGCCTTCCTTGAGTAGCTTTTTCTGCACAGCTCATCATTTCTGCCCATGCTAAACACATTCCAACCATCAAAACCATGCCAGGACACCTCGTTTTTCTAACCCTAACCCTACCCTGGTGCTCACCCCTAACCCTAATATCGGGATAAAGTTCCATTGAAAAGAGGTTGATTTTGAAAAAGCCTTCCTTGAGTAGCTTTTTCTGCGCAGCTCATCATTTCTGCCCATTCTAAACAAATTCCAATAATCAAAATCTTAGCAGGAGACATCGTTTCTGTAATCCTAACCCAATGATGGTGAACCTTTTAGAGACCAAGTGCCCAAACTGCAACCCAAAATGCACTTATTTGTTGCAAAGTGCCAACACTGCAATAAAACCTGAAAACAGGTTTTAGTTTAGAAAAAACAACTCACAGCCAGTCCAAGCAAATATTTGTATATATGCTTGGCAGCGCACTGCCCAGCCATGCCAAAGCTCGGACGAGTCGTGGCTAATGAGTTGCAGCATGTGACGTCATTGCCTGGCACTGTTACTCCTTTTCAAGCATGCGCATGGCCCCTAAGTGTGCTGGTATCCGATGCTCGGCTTCTGGGGTGATGCTTGGGTGACTTGGCTCATGTGTCGACAGAGAGGGCTCTATGTGCCCGCAGTGGCAGGCATGCCATAGGTTCGCCACCACTGTTCTAGGGTATTCAAAACATTCCGATGCGAACTAAAAATTTGCTGATGCTAATTTCCTCATGTACATTTACACAGGACTTTTTGTCACTTGTTGTTTGTAGAATAAACCCTTCTCTGCATTCAGCCCAGTGTCTTGTGCAGTCTGGATGTATACTGTTTAGCCCCTCTAAGCAAAATAAATATACAAAACACAATAATTGAGCCTGCTCAGAGAGATAAAGCAAATTAAAACCTTGGTTCAACTGATGCCATTCCCTGAGTCCCTTGAGATGTTTGTCGGAAGACACCCATCCCTGATAGTTGGTTATGGTGACTTGGGCTGGTAAGAGTTGGGGTCTAACCAGTACCTACATACATGTAGATTGGGAAGGATTTCTTTTGTAGTTTCTTCAGGCCACTGTGTTTCTAGAGAAGGTCAGAAAGAGGTTTTGTGTATCTGCACATGAAAATACCAAGCAAAAGGTGTATGGAGAACAAAGAATATTTCCTTATTCTTCTAACTTGCATTCTCTCCCCATCTGCCAGCACTTACATGTGTACCCGCACGAACACACACACGGGACCAGATATATATATATATATTTATGAAAAATGTTGTATGTATAAATGTTGCTGCTGCTGTTCTCCATTATTAAATATTCTCTGTGAGACTATAATGTAACAGTAGGAGCATAAAGTGTTGTGTTGGTGCTGTGATGAATACTTCTTTTGGTAGTTAATGCTTAGTGATACCTTCTGAAGTAGCAGGGAGAGAGAGGATCACTTCTATTATTTATAGATGGGACATGGATCTGGTAAATTCAGTTACAATTGGCTAGGGATTCTAGGTATATGGAAAAGAGCAGTTGGAAATAGCCGTTGGGGATTCAATCAGTTTAGGGACTTTGACCTCAGTTAAAACTAGAAAAGGCCATTAAGAAGCTTGTATCAACAAAAGTGTTCCTTAGGAATTGTCAATGAGCAGTCTTGTCTATAAGCATTCTCCCACAGTAAATATTCCTTTATGCACAAAATATGCCCTTTACAAATAATTTGTTTAATGGTTCACTGTGTCCTTTGTGTCAATGCCCATCTGTGCCTGAGCCTCTTATGCCAAGCTAATAGGAGGTTTTAAACTATTTGCTGGCAGCAGAAATGGGCCTGTGTGTGGCACTCTGAGTTCCAGGTGCAGGTAGATCCTTAGACCTTGAAATGTAAGCAGTTTTCTAGAAAGACAAGAACCCTATAAGTGGAATTTCTCAGTGAAGAAGTTTCACCATAGTTGGTAGCAGAAAGCCCCCTGCGATGGCCTAGGGGTGTTGCTGTTGCATGCCATAATCTCTGATTTATGGAGACTCTGTGAAAGAATGCCCTCCAAAATGCCTTGTCCTTTATGACCCTGCTCAGCTTTTGTGAACTCAAGGCTGTGGCTTCCATTATGAAATTGATTTGTCTTGTGCAGTGGTACCACGGCTCACGAACGCCTCAGTTCATGACCAAATTGGGTCGCGAACAGACATTTCTGAAAAATTTTGCCTTGGGTTGCGAACTCCACATCAGGTGACAATCATGACCATCTCCCCCCAGCGTGCTGGCCTCACCCCCCAGTGCACCCGCCTCCCCCCAGCGTACCTGCGATTGTGTCCACCTCCCCCCTGAGCGTGCCCGCTTCCCCCCCAGCGCGCCCACGATTGCACTTGCCTCCCCTCAAGCACACCCACAATCGCACCTGTCTCCCCCACTCCAGCATGCCTGCTTCAAAAGTTTGTGATTAAAAAAAAATAGTTACAGAACGGATTAACCTTATTTACATTGAACCTTATGGGGAAATTTGACTTGGCTCACGACCAATTTGGGTCACGACCAGAGTCCTGGAATGGATTAAGTTTGTGAGCCAAGGTACCACTGTATTTGGCTTACTCTTCTTCCGCCTTCTTTGCCCCCTGCTGGAAGCATGCCTTTATGTGATGAATGGATTTGAGGGTGTTAGAGAAGCAGAGAACAATGCTGCCAGGAGGCCAGACTCTGTCGCTAGTCTGGTCTCCTAGCAGGGTAATCCAAGGGGGGAATAGTCAAAGCTGAGACACCACCCTCTTAAGGAGTAACAGTCACATCGGCAAAAGAGAACAGCTATCTCTAATGGTGATGGTGCTGGAGAAACTCCTGAAGAGCAGCTACTGGGCACCAGGAACTGAGTGTAAACATGGTAAAGAAGACTGGAGAAGGTGACCAAGCAATTACTTACTGCTTGGTGATTGCAAATACTGACAGGGTTTTTTGTACTAAGGTAAGATGTAGTGCAAGACTCTAACCCGTGATCCATACTGCCCCTTTCAAAATATAGGCAAATAACAGGAAACATTATATTATGTATGCATGGTGTGGAGAAAGTGGATAGGGAAAGGGAATTTTGCCTGTGCCACAATATTTATATCTGAGCTCCTTCCATGAAGCTGAGTAGTGGGAGAGAGAAAAGGAAGTGCTTCTTCACATACTTAAACTATGAAATTCACCTAAATGTAGTGATGGCCACCAATCTGAATGACTTTAAAGGTGGTTAGTGAAATTCATGGATAATAGGACTGTCAGCTATTCCCAGCTATGATGGCTTTGCACTGCCTCCAGGACCAGAGAGGGCACGCATGCGTATACCATCTGCTTGGGATCACAACTGAGAGGGTGCTATTGCAATACTGTACAACTTGGTTGATTAGGCTTTGTGTGAACCAGGTGAGGCCCTGGAATGATTTGACATGGCTCTGCTAATGTTCTTCAGATCAAATTTCCATCCAGGAATATACTGTAGCTATTTTTAGACCTCTTATAACTGTGGTGCAGAAAAATGCTTTATTCAGAGGAGGGCAAAGTGTACAGAGGCAAAAGTATGCTTAAAATACATACACATGGAAAGTTGTTTACAAAAATAGTTGCTTTCACAGAAAATGCATACAGTTTTTCATGCAGAATTGTAATGTAATCCAATGTGGAGTTGGGAAGAGGTTATTACACGGATAATTGTTGTACTGGAATAGTCTTGAATGCCCCTGATAGGCAGGCTCTTCTAAATTATTTATCTGCTCCATAGAAAGTAATAAATGATTAAACTGGATTGTTGTTAAATGTCTTTTGTGCCACGAGTGTACTTTGTAATAATCAACACAGACAAAAGAAAAACCAGGGTTCCTTTTCCATCTGGATGGCATCATCTTCTAGACGTTTACAATGAGTATACAAACATACATATTCGAGATGAGGACATTATTGTCATTTTTTTGCAGACTACATGTTAATCATAGTTGATTATTAGCAAGACTTACACAATAAGAGGAGCAGACTGTATTGACTTTTACGGAAAAAGTCCTTTGTTCACTCCTTAGTCTCCAGGCTGGGCAGAGAAAACCCCCTTTCCAAAACCCTGGTGAGTTGCTGCCGGTCAGTATGGACAAAACTGAGCTAGTGGGAAAAATGGATAACTAAGTTCATGTGTACTTCTGCATCTGATGGAGCAACAAGCACAAGTTACCACCATCATGGTCCAAAATACTTTGATATCAGAGTGACATCTGAGGTCTATAAAACTACATTCACTCTGAAGTCCATGAAAATAGAAAAGTGACTTGCTGTGCAGTCTGAAGGATGCCTCTTCAAAAGTAACACAGTTTAAGCTTAATGGGGACTACTTCCAGGCAAGTTGGTCTAGTATAGGATTGCTTTCTAGAAACCTAAGCAAATTTCCCAATCATTCTTCAATCCCACTCAGAGTCAAAACAGCCAGTATTTTAAATCAGTTATCTATTGGCTACCTCTCCTCTCTCTCTTGGGTTTTCATTTCTATTTATTCCCATCCTAGACTGGGATTCTAGGATGAAGGCCTCATTTAGGTTCTGAAGTGACAAGTTTGCCTTTCATAGAAGATTTCTGACTAACATATCAAAGAGTAGTTCGAATAAAACCCTAACACAGTAGTATACCATTTCCCCTATCTCTCTATGAAAGTAACTGTTGATGTCCCTGCTAGCCAGGTGACTTACAGACCCCTAAACCAAATGCCAATAAGGTTCAGCAAGGCGGAGATTCATTTGGTTCCTTTATTCAGCTGAGACGAGCAACCGGGTGTCAGCTTCCCAGTACACAGGCAGGAAGCAACAACACAACACATTCCATCAACTCATCCTTCTTATAGCTTCTTTCTTCCTTACTGTTTCTCACACAATCTCACCCCCATTGTTCCCTCATCCAGTCACCTCCCAGGGTCTGCCTGACCCTTTGCCCAATCCCCTTACGGGGTCTGCATGTCCACTGCATGCCTGTCCTCGTGGAAGAGGCTCTCTCCATCCAATCCCGTCACAGACGGAGCATGATCACGGCGTGCCAGGCCTTGCGTAGGGAGTCATCTTCTTCACACTACCCCTTTGTCTCGGGGGTCCTCCTCTTCACACTACCCTTATTTTACCTTACCAACATTCTTTTGCCTAACATTCTTTTGCCTCCCCTTTTCCTTCTGCAAAGCAAGCAGTTATACAGAAAGCAAATGGCGTTCACTGAGCTAACCAAGCTTTCAAGCAAGCAGCTTTTTACAAAAGCAAATAGCGTTAGTTAAGCTAGAACTAAATAACATTAGTTAAGCTAATCAGGCTCCTTCATAACTTAATAGCCTTAATTAAATTGTCCTTCCCTCATGAGGTGGACACAAGGTAATCAACAGCAAGATTTTAAAACACGCAATCTGCAGAGCCTAGTTATTGATGAAAGGTCATATTTTAGGTTGCAGTTGAAAGAAGAATCTTAAAACCAAAGCATTTCTTTTATGGCAAGCAGAGCCTCTTATCAAAATTAGACACTACTAATTGTACATGGTAGTTATGGCTACAATTCAAACCTGACATTTTCAACAGTGACCTGGTACATAAAGACAAAACAAATCAGTTCTGGGAAATCAAATTAAAGAATCCTTTAAGTACTATTTGCAGCTTAGAATTCCACTTCAGTACTTATATGATAAAAGCCAATGGGGCTGGCCAAATGTAAAATTTGGTACCAGCAAGATTACTAATTACATTTTGTGACCAAGTAAATAGAGCACATTTGAGTTGAAGTATTAATGGTGGGAGAGATATTCAGATCATTTCAGATATTCTCATGACAAAATAATTCATGAAGTCTGCTATTTAATTAATGTTGGGAAAGATAATACGTAGAGACAGACACAGTTCTATGACAACTTCATAAAGACTTTATAAAGCGAATATTAAGAGCAATGACAGCTGGAGACAATTAATGAGGAACAAAATGAGATTATTTTAAGCAACTTACAACAATTATTTTATTGCTACTTATACCAATAATCAACAGTATAATCGCTATAAGGGCATATTTTAAAAGCAATTTAATTTACAGAATATTGTTTCGCTTATTATGAAGTTTGAGGATAATGCTCATAGCAGATACTATAACTTACTAACCGCATGGTTAGTATTCACATTCAAAATAATGAATTCAGACACTGGGGCAGGACAGAAACCCAGATTTTTATTCAGCTCAGGAAAAATTATTGTTTTTCTTGCCATCCCAGGAGAATGCCACCTAACACTTTTTCAACAAGTGCAGTCAATATGGTTTTTCTGATTCAACAAAAATGGCTTCATGAAGAAAAAGGTTATTTTTGGCTTGTTTATCTTCTTTCAACCTGAACAGATGTCCAATTTTTATAATTTGAATAAATTTATGTCCCACTTTTTATTGTTTTTATTGCTTGTATAGTTTGTTTTTATATATTTTATTACGCATTATTTAAATATACTGTTAATAACAATTTATCTCATATGTTATTGTATAAGGTGCTGTGAGCCACCCAGGGAGCCTATGTGGCATAAAGTCCAAACAACAACAACAACAACAACAGTTCTGGGAAAGCTGCAGCATGGGAAGGGTGGATTGGGGTGTCCGTGGTTCCCCAAAGGAGGCTGAGTTGGAGGTTTATGTGGGGAATTCCATTTCCCAAGGCACACACAGTGGCATTTATTGGAATTTAAACTCTAGTAAAGAAGAACGTTGTTTTGAGTTTTAAAACTTCAGCTGTCCTTGAGTGATACAATATCCTCTCTCTTCTTTAAAATGAAAAGCCTAATCCTTAGCCCATATAAACCGTAGCACCTGATTTTGAACTGATTTAGGTCGACTTAACTGGATTGAACCAGCATAATTCGTGTTACAGTTGTTTAAATGAACAAACTGTATATGACCTTTTTAACTTTCAACCACACTCTTTTTCTCAATTTTTCAAATGCAGATTATTGATAAAGAAATTAATCCATTTGTGGACAAATGGGAAGAAGAAGGTCATTTTCCAGCTCACCAAGTTTTTAAGTCTCTGGGGAAAGCAGGATTTCTTGGAGTGAACAGACCAACTGGTAAGGAAGGGAGTGTCTTAATCTCTGAATTTAATTTAGGAGGCATGTTTAAAGTTTTATTTAACATACATCAATAGCCACTTCTGACTGTATCTTAACTGAGACATTTTCACTCACAGGTGTGTTGAGATGGGAGAGTAGAAATATAAATACAATTCTAGTAGTATATGTAGGCACTGCTGTTGTTTCATCACAGGAAAATTTGACTCTGGGTGTATTGATATATCTTTTTGTTAGTGCTCTCTCAATCCTTAGAGATCCTGTTTAAATATTCTAATGAATAGCCTAGCTCTAGGAATCTTAGAGCCAGCAAGCAATCTTTAGGATGAAGCTCAGTACCTGATATATTAGAAAAATGTAACCATCTGCTATAAACTGACTGGATTATAGATTGTAATGAGACAAATAGGACCTGCAAAATATGGCAGTGTCAGGTGCTGCTCAGAGTGCCAGCCAGCCTGTCATGCCTTTTCCAGGATGCTCCATTCACTTTTCCCCTTTCACTTTTCCACCTGTACTAACAGAAGCAGTCAGTAAATATTGCAGGACAGCAATGACCTCAGTCCTCACCGGGCTGCCTTTTCGGGTTCCCCTACCTAATGTATTTCTGTATTTCCTCAAGTGTTGTTGATACTTCTGCAAATCTTGGGGTTCCCCTCATTTGGCTATACTTCCCTCTTATGGGTAGATGGTGATGTGTAATAAGTTCTGACCTAGAAAGAGGGATCGCTAGCCATTCTGGGTCTCTGTGTTCCAGAACATGATCTCCATGTTCTGGTTTGTGTGGCACATCAAATTATTTCTGAGATATCACTTTATGAAAATGCTGATGGTGCAAGAAGGCCATTTAAGATTCACTTAAAATGACAAAGCGAATTAATGATAAAAGAGAGTCTGAAACTGGATCAAAGCAAATCCCTAGGTTGACTAATTTTTTACCAGCCTTGCTCTCCCAGTTCAGTCAGTGAGTCAACATTATTGCTAAACTGATAGCATTTAGGCTGCAGTTCTTAAGCACTGTGGCAGTTCTGATATTAAAAGAAGCAATATTCCTTTACAAATAAGTTGATTCATATATATGATTCCAATTATTTCTTTTGCAATTGTGAATACTGAAATGTCTTGTCTGATGCTTTTCTTCCATCTTCAGTTCCCCTTTCTCCTTTTCTGTAGACGTTTTGATCAGTTTGTAAGCCTGAAGGCAAGGCTTTAGTGCATATTTTATACTTTATATCTAATATCTAGCATCTTAACTCTAAATAATTACAGAAGAGCTAACTATCAAATTTATACTCTGGAAGAGAGTTCTGCTGTGATCTGTGGCTGATACATTATACAACACCTTTATATAATTTGTAACAATTTCTACTGTTCTGCATGCATATAGAATTGCATCTGATAGAGGGAAGGTAGTATCTGCAATCCAGGCAGAGTTTATTAGCAACATATACATTAAAAAGATAAAGCTTCTGAAGTTGGGTAAGGTCTTGGATCTGCTTTCCATAAGAGAAAGGGCTCTGCTTGCGGAATTACCCTCCACCCATTTTGGGGGCTTCCTCCTCTCCCAGACACCAGAGCTCATCTTACTTGGTAGGATCTGGCTATCTGTACAGCATGTTCAGGGGCTAGAGAGAGTGCTCTAGGAAGACTTCTGCTGCCAGGAAATTCCTCTTCCACCTCTTCCACTAGTACAGTTGAACCAGCAGGAATCTGGATTCAGCCTAATGTGTTCGGCAATTAAGAGTACTACCAACTGATTTTTCAGAATGAATAATCTCGGGGAAAATGCTGAGATTGGGTATATTTTTAAACTTTTGCCTAAGAAAGGAGGAAAAGTTGGGCCATACATCTAAAAAAGTGTGGCACTTTGGAATGGTGGAATCTAGTATTCCATCGGAACCTATAAAGCCAATTACATTCCAGTATGTGGCAACATTAAGAGAACTAGCAGTAGCACAGAGCAGAGTTTTGCAGATGTGGTTTTCACCCTGATATATCAAGTGAGTCTAATGTAAAGGCATTCCTGAAATCCAAAGCCTTAAATAGCACTTGGTATCCTCATATGCAATGCCAAAAAAAACTCAAGTTCTGTATAAAAATGGTACCATAGTGCATTCATTTTTAATTTTTTTGTGGCTTTTCCACAACTAAGTGTAATTGCAGTGTTTATTTAGGCTACAATCCTATATTTATGTATTAATTTAATTTAATTGCATTTTACCGTGTTCTTCACGGTAAACCCCCCTCCCCCCACAGTTCTTTGCAATATGAAATAATCAGCATGGCTCAATTGAAATAAATTGAGTAGTCCTGTTGACTTTTAAGGCTGCAGTTTTACATTTTTTACTGGAAGTGAATGCCACTGAACTCAGTAGGATTTCTGAATAAATATTCCAATGAGTGTATTGTTATTTGCCTATACATTCAAAGTACTGTGGCCATAATATGCTCAGAGTGATCAAACGTTTGAGTGCATGCACACGTGCATACCATGTGTATGTGTGGATTGATGGGGAATAAAATTAGGAACTCATAAGGGGACTTCTTATTCAGTACCAGCCCTTTTCTGCTCTTCTTCTTTTGCTCTCCATTATTTAAAATATTTCCCATTGCACCAGCCTTGTACTAGCCACCTGAGAAAAACCTACCATACTGAACCATAGCTAGTTATGTAGGGTACAAAACTATATGTGTTTAGACAGAAAACAAAACCCTACAACTCCATAGCTGGCTGGAAAATGCTGGGAGCTGTAAGACCTTTTTCTAACTACACCTGCATAGGATTGTGCGAGTAGTATTTTATTTATTTATTTAGAACATTTCTATGCCACCCCATTCGCAAAAAGCCTTGGGGCAGCTTACAAAACAAATATATAAACAATCATACAAATACCCTTAAAAATCTGGAGACATCTCGGCATAGATATAAAAACCAATAAATAAATACAATCTACAATTAACAATTAAAATAACTTTTAAATAAAAAGGTCTTGGCTTGGCGCCAAAAAACAAATAATGACGGCACCAGGCGGACCTCTCTGGGGATTTGTGGTGTGTATAGTAATTTGTGGTGTATATAGTTTGAAATAATCTCTACAACCAAACCCTATACATGTATTTTCAGAGGTTCAGTGGCACTTACTGTCTAGTGTTTTAACAAAACCAGAGCCTATAAGGCAATTATTTCTTTCTTCTTGCTCTTGAGTGAGTGTCTAGGTATAACTTGGAGTTACTGCAAGACTGCATGCATTTTTAAAGAATTGTTTGAGATCTGCCATCTTTACTTCAAAAGTAAGAAACTTCTGCTTGTTTTTCCATTGGAGGGAATAAAATGTCTAATAGAAATAAGGCATTTGTAATATGAGCAGACCTCAGTTGTTCTTGCAATAAACCTAATTGTGTTGGATTTTTATTAAGAATATGCCATCATTTTTCATACATCTGTAGTTGCAGTCTATTCATTTCATCAATAGAATTTTTGGTACCTTCGTTTCTTAATGCTAAACTCTGATAGTTGTATTTGGGAAATTAGTAAGCAACTTGCATAATTACTGCAAGAAAAATAAAACCATAGAGTCCTAGAAATTGGTGATAGAAACAGTATTTGAAAACATTGTGTGAATCATATTGCTACCGCTTCTGTTTTCATGCTGCCTGTCATCATTTAAGATCCTTCAATTTCAAAAGATTCCCTTTGCTCATTGCATTGTACTGTAACTGGTTTTTTTAATTGTTAAAATTAAAGAATTATTGTAGGATTGATATCAAACTTTACTTTTTTAATATTGGAAGCTGCCTTTGGAAAGCAGCAGGAATAAGCCAGGAAAGAGTTTCATGCGCAGTTGACAGCCACTGCATTTTTGCTTTTATTTGCACAAGCAATGAAACAGGCTGGGAAGCCCCAGTTAACCACAGCCTCCTGTTAAAACCAGTGGTCTCCAAAAAGCCAAACTATGAAGACAGCTTTAAACCATTATTTTATATTCTGGCTTCTTTAGAAACCAACAGCCATAGTTTTCTAGTTCTGACATAATGGAAGCTGCAGTTAGATGTGGCTTTGCTGGCTTGTTTGCTCACTCGGATTAAAGCAGGACCTATGCAGGAGCCAAGGGACTAAGCACAGGGTCAAACATCCCCTGTTTTTTTAAGCTAGACTTGTATCTTGTGAACTGGACAAAGGGCATGAAATAAAGCCTACAAACAAATCATTAGCAGTTTTCTAAAGTATATATCAGCAAGTGATTTTGTTTTTTATATAGAAAAGAATTACTGTAGCTTGCTTTCTACCTTGCCCATTGAAGATTCCTGTGCAACTCTAAAATCATTTTTAAAAAGTTAAAATTGTGCTGTTGAAGCACTATTCATGATAGTCTAAATGTTCTTTTCAAGCAAGTGAATACAGAATGTGAGCCATATATGTGATAATCAAGAGGTGGAATATGGAATATGGGTGGGCGGGTAGGTGCTAACACCAGTCCTAACTTTACTTTTCAGCTGGTTTTGTTGCACTTCTCTTTCTCTTTGCTCATATTCCTTTTGTTTTTATTTCAGTCTTCCCCAGCTAGACACTTTGTGAATGTGTTGGACTGTAATAACTATGGCCATTATATCAGCAGATTAGGGGAGGTCCACTCTAACACTTCTGGAGGATGCCAAGTTGAGGAAGACTTTTCTATCATTTCCTTGTCAGCTGCATTGCCACTCCAAGTAGATATTGAACTAGCTGTTGCTTACCTCTGTCTAATTCTTGAGTCTGTTATTCCACTAATCATGGCTGTGAATTCCATAAAGAACTGCATGAATAATCATTAGTCAGTTTAGTCCTCTTGAGTGCTTGTGTAAGTGGGAATTGTTCTCACCATACCATTTCCACTCGAATTTTAAAACATTGGGCCTTGAGCAATATCAAATATAGGCATATGTTCAAGAAAACGAGGTGCTTAGCATTAAAGCTGTACCAAAGTACTTGTCTGATTGGAAATCTGTCGAAGTATTGGATT